GGGAAAGCCTCATCACACGCCTGTACAGCCGTCATTAGTTCGCGAGAGCGCTATGTCCACATCTGCTAATTCTTTAAGTTAAAACTCAGTCTCCACACCAATGAATTTTGATGCAGTTAGTGTAGAGCTTGCTGGCCACCCTGATCGGGTCTTAGTGGAAACTATCTGGTTCAATCTGCGTTTTTGCTGCCTCATCGAGTTTGCAAGCGATCGCGCACTTCAGTTGCTTCTAGTAATCTTGCCTCTGCATCCACAGATCTAGCTATTGTAGATGCCTATTTAGCTAAGGAATGCAAACTTTTAAGCACACTAGAGATGCTTTTGACACGCCACCTTTCTTACCTTTGCGCACGTCTGGTACGGGTGTAGTACCAAAAAAAAGACGGCGGCCACCGATTAATTATGCATGGTCTGCCCCTTGCTGGGAATAGCGTTAATGACTTTATCGACCAAGATTTGGCACGTGTTGGCGAGACAAATAATTATTCTGACCTTTTGGCTTGCGGTCGTCACCCTTATTTTTTTAATCGTTTTGCTGATGCACTGGTGCGGATCTGACGCGAAACCCACGCTGTTGAGAACTTTGAGCATTATTTAGATGATTTCATCAATGAATAACACGCACGCAAAACCGCACCTCCAGGGTTCCCTGGCAAGCGCATGCCAGGGCTGGCAGACTGTCTTCATTCCGCTTTTTGCATGTACCGGCTTGCATGTATATTGCGTCACCACTGGTTCAGCATAGGCTGACACACAGGCAATGCGGGCATCCGGGCTAACACTTAGCGCGAGGGTCAGCCTCAGGGCGGCGGGTAATTAATTATCATCACGGCCTTGGCAGGAGGTTGGCAAAGGGCACGGGCGTTGCCTTGATGATTATGTGCAATTTTATAAGCAGAGATAACCTAACATGCTAGGCGTTGGGGGACTCTCCCAATTATACATAAGCATATATTATGGAAGGCTACTTAGACGCCGCAGCGCGTGCACTGTATTTTAAAAAGCTTATATTCATCCCGCGCGGGACTAGCATGGCGTACAGCGGACTTGGCGCGTGCCACAGACCGCTTGACAAACTTTAGCAGCTCAGCCAGGCACGGCATCTCGGGTCCCATAAGGCGCATAGCAATAATTATGTATACCCATGCGGGGCAGCATTGCGGCGCGCAGGGCATATGTGGCGTTGCCTTATGCGCTTGGCAAAGGGCACGGGCGTTGCTAGAAATTTAATAATACATAAAGCATACATTATAGAAGGCTATTTAGATGCCGCAGCGCGCGCAATGTATTCTAAAAATGCCTATATTCATCCTGCGCGGGACTAGCATGGTATACAGCGGACCTGGCGCGCGCCACAGACCACTTGACAAACTAGCAGCTCAGCCAAGCACGGCTTCTCAGGTAGACCGCGCGCGCGGATCCCATAAGGCGCATAGCAATAATTATGTATACCCATGCGGGGCAGCATTGTGGCGCGCAGGGCATATGCGGCGTTGCCTTATATGATTGGCAAATGGCACGGGCGTTGCCAGAAATTTAATAATACATAAAGCATACATTATAGAAGGCTATTTAGATGCCGCAGTGCGCGCAATGCATTCTAAAAAGTATATACTCATCCCGCGCGGGACTAGCATGGCATACAGCAGACCTGGCGCGCGCCACAGACCGCTTGACAAACTTTAGCAGCTCAGCCAAGCACGGCTTCTCAGGTAGACCGCGCGCGCGGGTCCCATAAGGCGTATAGCAATATGTATACCCATGCGGGGCAGCATTGCGGCGCGCAGGGCATATGCGGCGTTGCCTTATGCGCTTGGCAAAGGGCACGGGCGTTGCCAGAAATTATAACAAGACATGCTTTAAGCATATATTATAGAAGGCTATTTAGATGCCGCAGTGCGCGCAATGTATTTAAAAAGTCTATAATTATTTATCCCGCGCGGGACTAGCATGGCATACAGCAGACCTGGCGCGCGCCACAGACCGCTTGACAAACTTAAGCAGCTCAGCCAAGCACGGCTTCTAAGGTAGACCGCGCGCGCGGGTCCCATAAGGCGCATAGCAATTATGTATACCCATGCGGGGCAGCATTGCGGCGCGCAGGGCGTATGCGGCGTTGCCTTATGCAGTTGGCAAAGGGCACGGGCGTTGCCAGTAATTATAATAATACATAAGCATACATTATAGAAGGCCAATTAGACGCCGCTGTGCGTACAGTATATTAAAGTCTATAATCATCCCGCGCGGGACTAGCATGGCGTACAGCGGAGTTGGTGTATGCCACAGACCGCTTGACAAACCTCAACAGCGCAGCCAAGCATGGCATGTCGCGCAGCCTGCACGCGCGGGTCCCACAAGGCTCATGGCAATGCGACTGTATACCCAAGCGGGGCAGAATTGCGACACACAGAGCCTATGCGGCATCCCATGTCGGTCAAGCGAACCAAGGAACATATGGTCAAGGCATAGCATTAGCTCTCCTAAGGGAGATCCCCACTACTATTTTTGGAGGTTGCTTGGCCTAGAGTAAGGGCATGTCCGAGCAGGATGAGAGGTCAAGAAAAGGCAGGACACACGTACAACATCCACTTTTCCGCAGATGCGTTTGGTCTGCACAGGCGATGTTGGGAAGCCCGAGTTGTCTCGTGATGCCAACACCCTGGTAGCATTGTCGGTCGCGCCCAGCACACGTAAGACATACCAGCCAGGCATTAAAGCATACTTGAAATCCGCGTCAGCGGTCGGCTTCAACCCGGCTCAGCCGAACAACGAAGAGATTGTGCGCTTTGTTACCTCACTTTCAGAGTTAGTGCCTGCAGGCAACACTTTTAAAGGTATACTTGGCTGCGATAAGGTTTCACCTGCTATCGCAAGGCATGTCCGTAGAGGGACTGCGCTCACAACGCCTCCTTGCCGTATTGAAAGGCATCGAGCGAACGCAATTTGACACACGGAGGTCGGAGGCAGGCAACCATGCGGGCCGGCAGCGCCTACCAGTTGCACCGTCAGATCTGCTAACCATAAAAGCGCAAGTGGGTACGTCCGCCCACTCGGCAAGCGATAAAGCAATGATATGGGCAGTACTGTTGACGGCATTTTACGGGCTGCTGTGCGTAGGTGTATATGCCTCAATGTCAACGGACTAAGGACGCAATTTCAACACCCTGACCGCGGCTTAGGTCCAGATAGCGCAGACAAAGGTGGTAATCAAGCTTGGTCCCACCAACACCTCGCAGTTCGGCAGAGGCGGCACAGCGTTGCTTTAAGCGGCAGCCAACAAAGAGCTGTGTCCCGTAGAGGCCGTCATGGCATACAGATCCAGGCGACGGTGGCCAAACGCCGGGGCACCCTTCTTTGTCCACGGCAATGGCAAGCAGCTCACACAGAAGGCCATCAACCTACTGCTGAGAGCTTTGCGCCCCGAGGTCGGTAGCCACTCCCTGCGCAAGGGCGGTGCCACCGAGTTGGCAGCACAACGGGCACCAGAGCGGCAGCGGCAGGCAGCCGGACGTTGGCGCAGCTCAGCGTACAAGCGGTACATCCACACATCTGCAGGCTTGCCCTCCCACTAGCTGGGTGGCATGGAAACACGGCACCCAGGACAGATGCAAAAACCTATTTTTGGAGGAGCAGCAGGCAACCCTCGTTTCAATCGTGATTGCTTAATCACATGGCAAAAACAACAAAAATGCAACCCCAATCTATGGTGCTATGATGTGTGTGTCTCGGGGGGAGGGGCGATAAATGTAGGTTTGCAGCGTACGGCAAACCGTAGTTATCGCTGACAACCGAGCAGCAGGCAAAAGCCACGCGCGTGGCTAGGCGCTCAACAATGGGGGTGTCTGGCATGCAATGGCGGGCGGCCGTACTGGGGAAAGCCCAGGCCGCAGTACGAGTACGCCCATATGCGCGGGCGAGACTACCCCATATTTGCATTACCCATATAAAAACCGCTCTGTGAGCGGTTCTGAAAAACCTCTACTGGTGCAGCCCCGTCGTAAAAGTAAGAAATTAGAACTGGCGCATTGTCCTCCCAAATGTGAACTGATCCACCTAAATCGCGATTGACGGGACCCGAACGCACCAGTAGCACGAGGTTCCTACCTGTGGATGCAGCTGTGGACGCTGGTCCATAGCCAAAGCCAAAGCGGCAAAGGTGGGCTTCGGTGTAGATCTAAGTGTTGTATGGTAACTTGATCAGCGCCGACGCCGGCTGTGATCCTGTGCCCTCCCGACCTCGTGCTACTGGTGCGTTCGGGTCCCGTCAATCGCGATTTAGGTGGATCAGTTCACATTTGGGAGGACAATGCGCCAGTTCTAATTTCTTACTTTTACGACGGGGCTGCACCAGTAGAGGTTTTTCAGAACCGCTCACAGAGCGGTTTTTATATGGGTAATTTCAGTTCTTTTTCTGTTCCCTCCCCCACCCTAGCCCAGCTCCGAAGATAAACATGGTGAGCACGCGCGCGATGCACTGTATGTAGCCATGCAACTACAGTAGCACACTGATACATTCCAGCCCTCCCCACCTCGCTACCCCGCACACAGACACCTTGTGACAAACACGCACATGCACATGGCACACACACACATGGGCACGCACACACATACATACACACACACGACCCAAACAGGAAATTCTTGATGAACATTGTATAATGGCATGCAAAGCAGTGGCCACCATACTTCAGGAAGTCAGTTGTGAAACAAAAATAATTCAACTACATGTACAATGTGTAGGTAAGCTAGCGGCCAAAGCACAATATTGCAAACCGTGATGATATCTGCCTAAGCATTGCAGTTTGCAGACCACACCATGGAAGCAGTGAATACAGAATTATTGTAATGTCATACAAAGACAAGCAAAGAAGTGGCCACCATACACCAGAAACTTGCAGAAAGTCACATATCCAACAGATAGAGAAGTGAACAGCGTCTGGTACAGCCCACACAAAACCAAGCTGACCTGATACTCGTCCGAAGATCGTAAGTGGCAGATCCTTTTCAACGATAGCATGCAGGTGTACGTTACACGCATGGACAAAATCTGACCGTGTCACCGGCATACATTGTCATCACATGCATACCCCACAGGTTACACACATGCACAGTAGAAGCACAATAAAAGCAATGGAAAAATATGAAGGGGTTGCTGAAGCATCTTCACACTTCAATTTCAGACTTCGATGTGGTCGTCACGGGGTGGTATACCTGCAAGATACAAGTGATACAGAAAGAAAGCATAAGGTCGTGAGGTAGGCTATGAGACACCACAAATGGGTCACCTACATGTATGTTCAGGGCTGGTGTACACACACACGCAGAATTATCATAATCGAGAATTTCCCAAACTACAGAAGAGCAATGAAATCCATTTGCATGCACAGGAGAAATTTTGCAGTATGATGAGCAGCTCGGGAATACACCTGTTGGCAATGGATTACATTCCCATTGGAATTCCCATTCACGTGGGATTCACAGAAGCAATTTGGCAGTGTGCTGCGCAATGCGACACGACCTGCGATTCTGCGTGCGATGCAAACTCGCACAAAATACCATTCACAGAATCAGGACAAGACGTCAGCGATGCAACAGCGCCTTGCTGACGTGCCTCAAGTCAAAGCTCAATGAGAATGCGTTTGTCGGTTACAACTGGTACAAATGTACAAGCAATTTCTGAAAATGCTCCTGTGAATCCTGCTTTAAGAAGTGCAGGAATGTCCCTCCTCCGCTCCCCCCCCCCCCCTTCCACACCTTCAGGGAACTTGACAAGGAAGGGTGGTCTTCGCGGTTCCCAACATCTATTTGCAGTTTCTGGTCTCCACTGTGTCTTTTCAATGGGGATTTGTACGTACCATAAAAGCAAGCCTAAAAAATGAACAGCACATTTGCCGTTCCCCCACTGGGGAGGATGCGTTCCACAGCTATCCTGACAAGATATTCCGAGAAGCGGTGCTGAGTGCAATGCATTGTGAAACTGAAAAAGCTGACCAAGCCGCGGCATATAACGTCTAAACTTCAATTGTACATGTAGTTCGCCAGCTGACTACTTTCAAACTCCATGAAGGTTGAGAAGTTGACAACAACGGCGCACGCACATAAGCAATGGCCACCTTACCTGTACTGTAGCAGTACTTCCGAGTTCCCGTATGGGAGTTCCCTCACTGTGTGTGCAATAGCAGCCTCATCGGACCAGTTCAATGCGACGCGGACAGTCCGACACTGAGGAGGACATTGAAGAAGTCAGAGACAGGAAGAATGGTTGATTTACAATTCAACTAGCAAGGCTGCACACCCACGAAGTTCCACTCACCATTGTGCCGTCCTTCTTGGAATGCAGAAATAACGCTTCCTCTCGAGAACGCAGCCTGTGACAGAGAAAAAGGAAGGAGCACTGATCGCCATCGGCATTGGTCCTCTGCTATCACCGATTGCCGAGTTGCACAGTTCACTCTAACAAGACTGAGGATGTTCAAGAACTCCCCATCCATACCATTATTGGAGTAAGAGGAAAGGTCAGATTGCCTAGTTCCTAGGGCCTAGCATTCCTGGATGCCAGGATGTGCTGCCCCCCCCCCTCCCTTCTACTGTCTGGAAAGGGCAACATATGTGACAGCGTTCACCAGTACAGTCGGAGGAGAACATGGGAGAAGGCAAAAAAGGGCAACACACATGAATCCCTTATAAACAAGCAGTAGCAACTCTAGCACCAGCAATGTTGGACTTACATCCCAGCCATTGCCGCCGGATTCAGCGGCTTCTTCTTCTTCGTCTCCCATCTTGGAAGCACTCCTTCCCGTAAGTTCAGTCCTGGGATCGGGAGTACAGTCGGAGGAGGACGGCGGAAAAGGCAAAAAGGCAACACACATGATTCCCTTATAAGCAAGCAGTGGCAACTCTGGCACCAGCAATGTTGGACTTACATCCCAGCCATTGCCGCCGGATTCCCACGCTTCCTCGTCGTCGTCTTCCAGTTCCCAGGTTCCATCTTGCAAATACTCCTTCCCGTAAGTAAGTGCAGTCCTGGCCTGGGTGGATGCGCAGTACATTGACGATGGCGGAGATGGAGCAGGTCAGGGAGCCCTATAGGGGTCCCGAGAGCAGATTGTGGCCAAATTCGGGACGATGCCGTACGCCAGTCAGTATGAAGTAGCGAATTGCGGACCGCCACGTAGATTGGGGTCGCGGGGTCATAATCCATGGGCACTACTCGTACGTTGCTCCAAAAAAGGGCATTGCACTGTTCCACAGTTGCTGTTAGCGGTCACCAAAGGCACTTGGTAGGCCGGTAATTGGGTCACGTGTCAACAAAGTGTCAGCAACGTGTCAACAACGTGTCGACCACGTGTCTTTAGCGGTACACTAATTTTGGTGTCCCCAAACTGAAAACATCGAGCACCAGTATGGAAAGGCTTTAGACAGAAAGCCTTTCCAATAAAGGTATCAGCGCTACTAATGCAATGTTTACTACAAGCAGGGCTCATGGCGCCTAATCTCTATATTAGGAAGCAGTTCCTTTTATGGCACGAAAGGACTCCAGCGCGCGTACTAAGCCTCAGCCAAGGTACAGTACTAACCGAGTACGCAAGATAGAACAGGCGGTGTGGCGGAGCAAACATACAACGTATGGAAGAGGCGAAGTCCCCAGATGCCGCCCGGCCCACAATGACAGACACCACCATGCTTATATGGGAAATAAGGCGCGAGAGCCCACCAGGTAAGGCGGGCCACATAAGCACGTGGCAAGCGCAAATAGCGTAAGGCGTACCCACGAGGCCACAACGCGAGAGTACGGCAGCATGAGCAGAGTACGAGAGTACGAGGCCGGATCAACGCAAGGCGGACCAAGGTGTGGTAGTGCCACAGCACGAGGCACCTCAGCAGTTGGAGGTGGCGAACGCAGGGACAGCATCAATATTGGCAGCTAGCAGCAGCAGCAGATGGGCGTGATTTTTTTTCTTTTTTCTTCAAGACTAGCAACGAGGAGCAGCAGGCAACCCTCGTTTCAATCGTGATTGCTTAATCACATGGCAAAAACAACAAAAATGCAACCCCATTCTATGGTGCTATGATGTGTGTGTCTCGGGGGGAGGGGCGATAATAGTTAGTTCGAGTCGCAGACGGCCCATCCGCTGTGTACGTAGCGCCGTCGTTGTCTACCACGTTGTGGCCTGGGTCTTCTTTAGTATTCAAAATTTAGACTGGCCCTCAACAGAGAACGATAAGAGAATAGTCATCCTGTCCTGAAGACGACGCAATTCAAAAAGTGTCAGAAACGGAAGCAATGTGACACAAGTAAGCCAACAGAGAAATCAAGAGCACAGTAATGTACTCTTGGTGATATGGCCATGATGCTACATCGTCGTTATCCAACTACTAGTGTAGTATCCCTGCCCGACCAATACGGAAGCAGTACGGAACTAATACGGAGCTTGCCTGATGTATATTTAGTGTATCTCCGTATGTAAGCGTACGTCGTCTGCTGCATAAAAGCGGCTGCGCATTTCTGTTTTGATGAAGAGAAGATTAGATTAGATTGGATAGCAATGAAAGCTAATTCGAAGAATAAGGATTCAGCCTCTAGGTGAGCACCGGAGAGAAAGTTATTTATTTTGCCGCTTCTTCTTTCACGAACGATTATATCTCAGGTGTGTACCTGAAAGTAGAATAAAAGTAATTATTGTTGATTTCACCGCGCCTACCAGGCTGCTACCCATTACATTGGTGGCAGCGGTGTGTTTTTGTAAAATAAAACAACGTGATTCGACCCCAGACCCCCATGGCTCAACCCGCTGCAGCTCCGTGCGACGAATCAAGATGAGAATCATGTTTCTTGCTTTCCTGGGCCTGGCCATGCTTATTAGCCTGCAGCACAGTCATGGTGCTAACGTGGATCACCATTCTTTCCGCACGGCATCCATTGGAGACTCCGATGGCGATTCCAAGCGACCCGCTACCTACATGTATACTACCGGTGGTGATGGCGAAGCTGATGAGGACGACAACAGGCAGGCTGGTACCCAAGACAAGGAGGGTATTCCCCAAGACCAGCAGCGTTTGATTTTCGCCGGCACGCAGTCGGAAGCAGGAGCCCACTCTTCACTTGGTACTTCCCCTCCGTGGTGGGATGCAGAGTTTCGTCAACACTCTTCCTGGCTAGACCATCACTCTTTACGTCGCGCAAAGCGATGCCATCGACAATGTGTAGACCACGATTCAAGACGAGGAGGGGGGTAATCTGTCTGACGCCGAGCTAGCCGCTCTGAGTGACCGGCTCAACCAAGATGAAGATAAAACGTGGCTTGCTCTCCGCCGTAGCTCCAGCCGCCGCCGTGGTTACTAACGCTGATTCCAGGTATGGCATTTTCTTTCCTGTCTTCCTTCAGTCTCCCTGTTCTCTTCAGTCTTCCTTTATGCGAGTGTGTGAATCCAGTTTAGTTTGGTAGGCGTCTGATCATGGTGAGCCACGGCTTACCCGGCTAACGTGGGACAATGTGTGTGACAACGCCCCTTATAGGTATAGTGTATTCAGTTCGGTTTTTGACCTGCGATGTTCCTGGCGGGTTGTGCCAGCGTTGTGCAGCAAGAGTGCTGTGGATTTTCAGGTCCAATTTGGAGAACAGTTCTTTCCCCTTTTGACCCCGTGAGATCGTGTGAACCTGGTGTGCTTCTACTTTATGATTTGTTATCAGTTCATTTCTTCTGTCTACTCTAAACGTTATCATTTCCGATATAATTTGCCATCTTCCGGTTGACGCTGTGTTCGTAACTCTTCACTAATTTTTTGAAAACCACGAGGGCGTGATAATCTGTAGGAAGGGAGGGTGTAGTATCCCTGCCCGACCAATACGGAAGCAGTACGGAACTAATACGGAGCTTGCCTGATGTATATTTAGTGTATCTCCGTATGTAAGCGTACGTCGTCTGCTGCATAAAAGCGGCTGCGCATTTCTGTTTTGATGAAGAGAAGATTAGATTAGATTGGATAGCAATGAAAGCTAATTCGAAGAATAAGGATTCAGCCTCTAGGTGAGCACCGGAGAGAAAGTTATTTATTTTGCCGCTTCTTCTTTCACGAACGATTATATCTCAGGTGTGTACCTGAAAGTAGAATAAAAGTAATTATTGTTGATTTCACCGCGCCTACCACTCGGCTACCTATTACACTACCGGTAGTACCTTCTGACCGCCATAACTAAAGGCATAATGGACCACGATGTGCACGAATAAGGCTGTGTTTACATGAAGCGTTTCAACCCGGGTTGAGTTCGACCCGGGTCAGATTTCAACCCGCCATGTGCACAAAGTGAATGGCGCGTTTACATGACGCATTGCGCTTGACCCGGGTTGAAATTTCGCCCCGGGTTGATTTCAACCCTCCCCCCAAGGGGAGGGTTGAAATCAACCCGGGTCAAGAAAATCGTACAAACGTACTTCTGTGCGTATCTCGCGCCAGGTTTGAACAGCCCTGCAGATGCAAATTTCGCGCGAACGGATTCACGTGACCATACAGGACTGTAGAAGTGGACTTTTGGCGGCATATCAGTATTAGACCCGGGTCAACTGTCTTCATGTAAACGCTCACCTCTTTTGTTTGTCGTACAGACTTTCAACCCGGGCTGAACTCGACCCGGGTTGAAATTTCTCATGTAAACACAGCCTTAGACACGTATTTCGATTTTGTAATCCCATTATTTGGGGGGGGGGGGGGGTGGTTCAAGAAGTCTGAAGAGCTTGGACGCTAAATGTTATAGAATAGTGTGTAAGACTTAGAGATCTTACAATAAAAATACTAGTAGAGTCACAGTTCATCATCCTAAAATTAATCATGATTAAAAAAGTGTGCTCAGTATCAAGCACACCGTACGGCATACCTGTGAGTAACAGCAGAAACTAAATGGGGGCACGGTCAAAATCTGCACTACTGACCCTGTACTAGTACTAATAGAGAATAATAATTATGATAAGGCATGCCAATGCCTTGGAAAATAGGAAGGTCTTGCATCCTTACAATTGTACCGCTGTCACTGCCTATCAACTCGCAATACAAGCATGTGCACAACCAGCATCAGTACGTAAAGATCAGTACTCGCCCGCATGCACACACCTACACATCTTGGCCCAGACCCACACACACACACACACAATTGTCACGTCCTGATGAAGCCTCATCAGCATCATTTCTGTTAACGGGTCTTGACACATCGCTACAAGTACAATGGCTGGCGTGATAACAAAGATTCATGGAGCCAACCAGTATTGCAAGCTGAGCAGCCAAAAATGCAGTTCAGCATAGCAACAGGAGCAATGGTTTCATGATTAATTTTTGTTTCTCTTTTTTTGCGTTTTTTCACACATACAATTGTTTTCATTTTTTGGTGTTGTGTTCTAATCATTCGCCATGCCACTGTCAATTGTATCCTGTTTGCCCGTAAGAGAGGCCTTTGCATGCTTTAAATGCTTTCATGCAGCAAGTCCACATTACTTGCTGAAAGACTTGAACTCTTCTAGAGCTGGCGGGCAAACTATCCCATGGATGTTGATGGCACCATGTTTGCCGTCCTGGCTGTTCATTTCGCTTTCCAGTCACGTCATCAGGAGATTTGCTTGGCAGACATAGGATATCTGTAACAGTATGCCTGGACGGTATGGGCACACAACATATATTTTTTAATTTTTTTTATTGGGAACACAGCCCTACAAAGAGACAAACAAAAGATAATACACAGGGGATGTAGGGATGATGTGCCGATGTACAGGGAGCAACTCGACCGACCAGGGGTCTCGGCGTTAGCGTTGCAACCTGGTATCGAAAAAAGGGGGGATTGCATGGTACTGACAAGACCATCGCAAGAAGCTGGTTACTGCTTAGGTTTCGTCTGCTTTCTTTCAAAGGGTGGGTACCTGTAGTGGACATTGGTAACATGAAAAGGCGTGCGTGTTCGCGCGTACACACGCACGCCCACCAAACAGACATATTTACACAAGCAAGAGGACACACACACACTCCACGCTCCGCCCTCCCTTCTTACACCTACAAGTGGGAGAAAGCCCTCGGATAACCAGTCCACTCCTGGCTGCGGCACCTCATGCATGCACACACAAACACACACACACACACACACGACACACAACCATGCTCACGCATGCATGCACACGCTATACTGTACTTGCTCACTGCCAAAACTGGTCACGTGGGTCTCCCCGGGAGAGGGAAGAGAGGAACACAAAAGGAATCTTGGAAAAGGACTCAATCAGGCTATTGAACCGCCCAAACGGCCGACACCCCCTGAAATCCCCAAACTATGGGTGGACTTGCAAATGATCTCACTTGCGGGCTCACCACATTTCAGGAAGTGGGTGAGGACAAGGTGCAGAGAAAGGATTGACCGCAACAGGTTATCCGTCCTTGGAGCCAACTGCAGTTACCCCTGCCCCCAGTGCGGGTAATACTTGCTACTAGTGTGCGTGGCTAAATCAGGTTACCCCTGCCCCCAGTGCGGGTAATACTTGCTACTAGTGTGCGTGGCTAAATCAGCGTGGATCTGATATACGCTTCTCTAGCACATGCGCACGCACACACACACACACACACACACACACACACACACACACACACACACACACACAGTGACACACACACACACACATACCAGTGTACGCATGTGTGCCATGCGCACACACACTCTCGCGCACACACACACACACACCAGTGCAGTGCATTCCTCCGCGCACACACATACCAGTACACGCGGGCACAAACACACGTATACAATCACATACACCAGTGCACGTCCGCGGGCACACGCACAGCAGCGCATGCACACGTGCACACCAGTGAACGCCCGCACACACACACACACATAAACACATAATTGTATGTGCAGGCGCGCGCACACCCACACACACACCCCAGTACAGTGCATGCACAAGTGCACTCGCACACGCACAAACAAACCACTGCACGCGTGCACTACACACATATACATATGGAGGCAAACAATTACAATCAGTCCCAGCATACATCCTGAGGAAACAGGCCACATTAATTTTATACTTACCTTATATATAGTTATAAAAAGCCATCTCCCATTTGTAACTCGAAATAGTGGTTAAAACTAAATATCTTGTCTGGCCAGCTACTACAAAACAGAGACCGCTAGAATGTGAACCCACCGCTCAGGGGGTCGGATTTCAGTTGCCAGCTATGTTGGGAAATAAGAAAGGGTTTGCTCCCCACACCGGGGCTCGCGCTATTCCGCCGACTTTACTTGACACTTGACTGACTCACGACTGCCATCCAGAGCACACGAGAAGTCCATCGAACCTTCGACTCGGCAAACCTGCAAGAAAGCACCACTCCCTGCTCAATACACAGTGTTTCGGGGAATTCACCCCTCATCAGTTGAGCTTGAGTAGGCTGAGGAAGATTGTGCCTGAAGAGCACCACTTATATAGTGCTCTCCAGGCACAAACATCACCAGGGATACAAACTTACAGAGACGCTCCGTTTTCAGCGCTACAAACACCTCGTGAACACCAGATAGCAGCGTGAGTCAGTGTCGCTCCTGGACGGTGAGACAGACGTCGAGGACCCTCGGTCATTCGCAACGCTGTCACCTCCAAACCAACTAGTCGCAAGCCCGCGCTGGGCACAACAGTACGAAGTAGTGGTTGCGACTTCGGCGATAATTTGTAAGAAAGGGTTTGCTCCCCACACCGGGGCTCGCGCTATTCCGCCGACTTTACTTGACACTTGACTGACTCACGACTGCCATCCAGAGCACACGAGAAGTCCATCGAACCTTCGACTCGGCAAACCTGCAAGAAAGCACCACTCCCTGCTCAATACACAGTGTTTCGGGGAATTCACCCCTCATCAGTTGAGCTTGAGTAGGCTGAGGAAGATTGTGCCTGAAGAGCACCACTTATATAGTGCTCTCCAGGCACAAACATCACCAGGGATACAAACTTACAGAGACGCTCCGTTTTCAGCGCTACAAACGAGCCCCGGTGTGGGGAGCAAACCCTTTCTTACAAATTATCGCCGAAGTCGCAACCACTACTTCGTAATGTTGGGAAATGTCACTGATATAAGACAGGCGCACGTTTCATCTTCGCAAGCTTGTGATTATGGAACAGTAAACCTCCAATCCCCCTTCTGGATACTAGCGTGCTGTTGGCTGCTGGTTTTCACCTTCCCTTTACCACCACTGCGACTCCTTTTGTCAGAACGACTCGCACACCGCGCAAACTGTTCATGTCTTGTGCAGCGACTTTCGGCACTGGTCGCCGGGCAGCATGATGCATAAAAAAGTCTTGTGTCAGCTTTCCCATGTTTGTGCTAAACTTTCTGGTCGGCGTTTACGAACAACACAGCGATCACGATTCAGTAGAAGACGCCAACTCTTCACGGTTATCACCGCAGCATACCGGAAGTTCAAAGAAGGAGATATCTGCTTGGTATCGATCTACCCACCTAATCGTTTACTACAGTGCTGGCAACTGAAATCCGACCCCCTGATCTGCTGAGCGGTGGTTTCACATTTTAGCGGTCTCTGTTTTGTAGTTTTACCATCCCGCGTTGGGTCTTTGCGATATGAGCGCACCGCTCGGGGGGGGGGGGGGGGCGGATTTCAGTTGCCAGCACTCTGTTAGATGGCTGCAGGGTCGTTGCTTTACGCGCAGAATCCTCAACTCCGCAACAGCGATACCTACTGTATTACAATAATGTATAGTCGAGTTACTTCTCCGTCAAGGAAGGTAGATAAGGGTCGTGATTTGTAGAAAAGGAAAAGACTAAACTGAAATTGGGAACAGCAACAACAATTTTAGTGCACAGCTCAAAACAATCTACAAAAGGTTTAGCGCGCTCGCGCTTGATTTTCACCGCATGAAACCTGATTCCACCACGCAACCCTTGTCATATCCAGTGCTTGCGCCTTATACTGTAAAGCGTGAAATTTTCGCGGCGTTTTTAGTTCGCGTTTTCAGAATCCGGAAAGGTTTGCGAGGTTTTAATTTTGCGATTGCAGAATGGCATTCTTGCTAAACCTGTGGCATTCTTCCTAAACCTTTCATGGATCTCCTTTTCGCGCTGTCAAAAATTTCGCGATTTCCACGTGGTCGCGAATTTCGCGGAAATTAGTCCATCGCAATAATTTTACGGTTGACAGTAGTCAATGAATTATTAAAAAAACGGAGAGTTTTAGATGCTAAACCTACGTCTAAATTCGACAATTGGCGAAGGAAACAAAAGCCTCGCAGCGAGGCTATCGCACGTCTCCTGGACTGCCAACATTTTCGAGGCTGCTCAGTGAACCATTGCCAACCCCGCCACGCCGGAAAAACCTCTTCGACAGGGGGAGGGGGGGGGGGGGGTGGAGTGGAAGGCGATTTTCACTTTCTGGCACTTGCCTCACGTACTAGCGGTATGAACCTTCCAAGTTGGAAGGCTGTTGGTTTGCGCACTGGAGGTGTGTGAGAGCTAGGTCTCAGGTCTTTGAATGTCTCAGTAGTCTGTCAGTTTTGTGCCCTGTTATCGCACTTTCTGACTGCTTATTATCTTATTACAGTCGTGGATAGTTGCTTCATGCATGTGACTCGTTTCCATTTCTTCTATTTTGATTTGCTTCTTTTTCATCTTTTCCTTTTCGACTTCTCACTCTTTTCCTTTTCGACTTCTCACTCTTTTCCTTGCTAGCCATGGTTGGCTACATCTATAAAAACCCTGCAATCGTGGCACAAAGTAGTCATTGGTTACTTTCCCAGCCATGTATTTGCGTGGAATAAAACTAAAACTAAATAAACTCGGATGGTGAGCCAATTTAATTATGGTGAAAAAAGAGAGCAGGAACAGGAAGGAGAACTCGTAACATTGTAGTCCTTCTCCTTTTTACTTAACTAAACTATGAACATTGGCAAAAGATATATGACATGATGGTCTTTGGAGGGAGGCAACGTAATGGTGCTCAGAACTCCGGACACACCTCCTGCACTTCGAAGAACGTGGTGGAGTAGAAGCCTGAGAGAGGCGTGCCCAGCGGGTAGCTGGTGGCACCGATGTTGACATCAATGTTGTGCGTGCCCTTTTTGATCTGTCCCGCTGCGGTGGCCTGGCAGATTCCCACGAGCACGGACGGAATAGGACTGTTCTCGTGTGGATCACTTTGGTACATGACGATATCAAGCTTGGATGGCTTTACGCACTCTTGGTCGTCGACCGTTATGAACCAGCGAACGGCCACGCCACGTCCCATCACGCGGATGTTCTCCGAGAAAGTCACGCGCAGCACGGTATTGTCGCGCTTCTTGGTGAATTTCATGCGAGCAATGCGCCCCTTGGATTGCGTAGTGCCTCCGTGTCCATGAGGGTGATTGCTCTGGTACTTGTGGCCTACCACGCCCCCATTGCAGCTGCTCTTACCACCAACCTAAGCACAACGTTAAAGAGAACAAAAAAGCAAAAAAGAACTCAGGTGGTGAGCCAAGGAAAACGTTGGTAACATGGAAAGTGTGGGCACAAGTTATGCGATCAAAACTTGGCCCACAATTTCCATGTTCATACAAAGCAAAAAAAGGACAATCTGTATAATATTTTTTTATGTTTTATGAAAGTTCACATGTCCACATAGAATCGAATAGAAAAACAACAACAACAACAACGACAACGACAACGACAACATTAACAACAACAACAACAACAACAACAACAACAACAACAACAACAACAACAACAACAACAACAACAACAACAACAACAACAACAACAACAACAACAACAACAACAACAACAACAACAACAACAACAACAACAACAACAACAACAACAACAACAACAACAACAACAACAACAACAACAACAACAACAACAACAACAACAACAACAACAACAACAACAACAACAACAACAACAACAACAACAACAACAACAACAACAACAACAACAACAACAACAACAACAACAACAACAACAACAACAACAACAACAACAACAACAACAACAACAACAACAACAACAACAACAACAACAACAACAACAACAACAACAACAACAACAACAACAACAACAACAACAACAACAACAACAACAACAACAACAACAACAACAACAACAACAACAACAACAACAACAACAACAACAACAACAACAACAACAACAACAACAACAACAACAACAACAACAACAACAACAACAACAACAACAACAACAACAACAACAACAACAACAACAACAACAACAACAACAACAACAACAACAACAACAACAACAACAACAACAACAACAACAACAACAACAACAACAACAACAACAACAACAACAACAACAACAACAACAACAACAACAACAACAACAACAACAACAACAACAACAACAACAACAACAACAACAACAACAACAACAACAACAACAACAACAACAACAACAACAACAACAACAACAACAACAACAACAACAACAACAACAACAACAACAACAACAACAACAACAACAACAACAACAACAACAACAACAACAACAACAACAACAACAACAACAACAACAACAACAACAACAACAACAACAACAACAACAACAACAACAACAACAACAACAATAACAACAACAACACACTGCATACGTTTTTCTGTCGCACCTCGCCCGAAAAGACAAAGGCCGGATATGCTGCAGATTGATCATACAAAATTCATAACACACAGCTGCGATTATCAATAATTTGCATTGGACAAACACCTTTTTTTTAAAGAGGTGCGTACATACATGTACACGTGGGCGCCGGCTTTTTCAACAAATGCTTGTAGAAAACAATCCACAGTAAAATAAGGTGAAGTACGAAAGGTTCCAGTAAGTGTGAACCAATATCAGGGGCGGGTGAAGAGAAGAGACAAAATGAGGAAGTGAGAAATAACGAAGGTGAAGATGTACATGTACATTATGTATGCGTGTGCCACAATACATAACGAACATTATTTGAACAATTATAGAGTGGAATGGATTTGCTCCCACACTGGAGCTCTCGCTATTCCGCCGACGACTTGACACTTGACTGACTCACGACTGCCATCCAGAGAACACGATAAGTCCATCGAACCTTCGACTCGGCAAACCTGCAAGAAAGCACCACTCCCTGCCCAAGGAGTGCAATGAGTGGTGCTTTCTTGCAGGTTTGCCAAGTCGAAGGTTCGATGGACTTATCGTGTTCTCTGGATGGCAGTCGTGAGTCAGTCAAGTGTCAAGTCGTCGGCGGAAAAGCGTGAGCTCCAGTGTGGGAGTAAATCCATTCCTAAACAAAATCATCGCCGACGTCGCAACCACCATTTCGTACAATCTTAGAGTGATACACGTGCATATGCTGTGTTTCTGAACACACTTGACATTCGGCTTATGAACGCGTTGCCAAATAGCTTCCAAAATATTCAACTACAATCAAGAGTATAATATGAAGTAGTGGGGAGCAAACCCTTTCTTAAGAGTATAATATGTATAGGATATTGCACGGTTCCGAGGCGATTATTTTCAAACAATGCGCGCCTTGGGGATTATGAAAAATAATCCTCGCGGACGCTGTGCAATATCCTGTATAGACCACACTTTTCGGGTGATCAGCAGCATGAACCAGTGCAGTGTGAACGGAACACCGAACGCGAAGTAGTTCTGACATAGTCGTTTGTTCGTCGCCTCTCCAGGTTTATCCACTTATTGGTTTGACTGAGGCTAGTGCGGAATGTCACACACTTTCTTTGGTTTGTCTCCCAAGACGAAGCCTAATGAACTCCGCTGCTTGTTGGTAGCTGACAAGACCATGGGGAAAAGCGATACTGATAGCGATCAAGTGAAGACTACGAAATAGTAAAGTAAAGTAAATTATCGTGTCCGTTCCCGAAGGGAACTCACGACGGCCGCTAACACCCGATAAACCCTAGCGGCAGATGCAGCGCCTAACGGTGGGGGTGAGTGGATAAGTCTCACAACAACAGGCACAAGTGCCGAAAACGACCCCATTAGCTGCATCCATAGTAGATATTGTAATTATTTGAAAATAATTTGAGGTACTTTGTTCGTCTGACACCTACAAAATATGCTGCGTTGAGGCGATTTATTCCCTACAAATTAAAGACTACAATGAAGAATTGTCAGATACTGAAGTCCGTCCCATGGCTTGGTCAAATGTTGTAAGAGTATCCGAAATAAGATGGATTGTTTGTGATCGTGTGGAACAAATTTGACAAGACCAGTAGAGCGTGAATGGGTACATCTACATCAGTGTAGAACGAATGACATTGAGTTAGTAGTAGGCGAACTGCTGCAAAGATTTATCTTTCAGGTCTGTGAAAGAAGGAAATTTCCAAATACTGTACTCGAAATCAAAGTTTGCATTGAACGGCGATGCTCACCACTATGCGTCTTTGTCATTTCGTTCAATGTTTCTATGACAACTCGTGTGCTGGACGAGCATTTGTTGTCATTGACTCAATTTCTGTTACTCTCCATAGGCTATTGGATTATTTTCCTTACTCGGTCTATTTATAACCAGTATCTATATGAGAGTGTGGTGTGTCTCAATGGTTACCGGTGTTCGGCACACCCGGTTCATGTAGTATGTTGTAAATTAAGATGCTCTTGTTTTTTGCTGATAGAAAGATTGCCTCTTCCCTAATTTTGTTTCACCAGGATGCTTTTCTTTTGACCACTATAGCCACTTCTCCTTGTTAGGCCTTATCTGGAATGCCCATTCTTGCATATTCAAACAGCAATCAAGGGAGCTAGCTCTCATGGTTATGCTGGTAGAAGGACTAGGTCCGAGGGGGATCCAGAGAATTCTCTGCGGATATGAGATCCCCTCGAACTAGGGGAAGTATCCGTAGATCACCTGAAAAGGGTGGTCTATAACTATATTGAATAGTCTTCCTGCAGTGGATAACCATGACGAGCACGGCACAAAACAGAAAAACAGGAATCAAATCAAGAACTGCAGCAATCAGGACTAGAGACTAAATTATTGTACACTGACGATTTGCTAATAAAAAACGACCAGACGCATCACTGACTCTCTCTCTCTCACACACACACACACACCCGCACACACACACAAACACACGCACACACACACGCGCGCGCGCAAACACACCCTCAGTCTTGATCACCCAAATCCATACCACTCAGCTTACCTTCTCCGTCCCTGCGCGTATCAACACCGTCAGCACCGGCTTGACGCTTCTCCCAGTCCACTTCGTCCAGCGTCCCGACAAGATCATCTCCAACATTGGAGTTACCTGGAAAATCGACAGAGGCAACAGGTAACACGGCAACAACAAAAACTTCAGCGAATTCACAATACAATACAGCTCGTACCAGACCATACACGTAGATCAAGAGCAGATTACAACAGTACCTATGCATTCACTGTAAACATGCAATCGCAACAATCTGAGAGACCTACAACTGGAGCGACGGCAGCGGCAACTGCAACTTGTGTTGATGGTAATCAGGCCGACGGAGTAGTACAATATTACAATATTGGTCTGGAATTTTTAGCAGGCTTTCAAAGTTGCGCTATTGCAAATAACAAGAGTGCATAAACATTATGTTTATGGACTCTTGCAAATACTGCATAGCAGGAAATTTTCGAACGGAATTTATTTTCGTACGATTTCGTACATGGCCTCTTTTGTACTAAAATTAATTCCATGCTAAAATTTGTTCATGAGAAAATACGAACACTATACTTCAGTACATGCATACTGCTTGCAAACACGTGTATTTAGCATGCAGCACTGTACGAAAATATAATCCGTACGAAAGGTCGAAATTCGGCTTTGTCCGAAAATATTTCCGTCCGAAAATTTCCTGCTATACAGTAATGATCTGCTTTGATGGTAGTGACAGCTAATATTTGCCTGAGTTTATCTTTGGATTTTTCTTCGATCATCTTTCCGATCACATTTTCATGGAATTTCAATAAATTTTTTTGACACGACAATATCACTGTACTACTTCCTGATGGTGATGGCAGGACGAAGTGGACAGGCAGGAGAGTCAAATCGGTCCCCCCGTCCCCCCCCCTCACACACCCTTTGCTATTACATGTACATGTAGGTATATCCTTGGGCTATGATCCCGTTTGACTTTTGCGAAGTAAAATAAAGAGTGGAAGACTGTACTATATGATGCGCTGTCATCCTATAATATTCATGCCTCTACACACAACACAAAGGAACAGTGTTTTAGGACTGTTTTCTTCAACAGTTTTCTTACTCTGTACATTCGCTTGACACATCTACTTGTTTAGTACTCTGATGTTGTTTGTTCACCATTCAGTAACGTATTCTAACTGATGATTGTCACGATCCCAAATACTTTCACTTGATGTTGTGTGCAGATGCGCGAACGTATTATGTATAGTATACGATGACAGCGCTTACTGTTTGCGAATTTACAACTTTTGTATTCTCATCGACCCCACAATACTGTACAGTATTATCACCTCAGACCAAAATCGATCATCTATATGTTCATGTACCAATGAGCTATTAAAGTATAGAGCGGAGACAATTATAATGGTACTTGACAGGGGCACGCGTGTTTGCAACGTGATAGTCGAACGAGCTGCTTTCCCCGGTGCCGAAAGGCGGGCTCACCACCCCATGCAGTGTGGCAACTTCCCCATGTCGTCTAACCCTAAGACGAAGTGAGTACTGTCGTAGTCACACTGGGTGAAGTTAAAAAATTAAAAAAGTGATACAGTAGTAGTAGACCCTAGCCGACACATTGTTTTTTGTTTGAAGTTTTATTTTACATCGCAAACCAAACGGGCATGGTGCCCAATATTATGATGGCGATAGAATAAAAAGTGTGGCTCGATAGTCGATAATACTGCACTTGAGAAAATGAGAAAACAGTCAATAGGAAGTATATGTACCGGTAACTACAAGTCCAGTTCGAACAAAATTAACAATCCGAGAGAAATAGGAAGATGAGGACCTATGGCAGAGGGAGGTACTATTCGGACTATTCGGCCTTATTAACCGCAGAAAAAAACTTTCAGCAATCTTTTTTTAAACGGGGTTGGAGGACGAGTGGACGTGAGTTCCTGTGGCAGGGTGTTCCAAAGCTTTATTATTATTATTATTTGAACAAACGGCGAGGAGACAACAATTTGATAACCGCAATCAGTAATACAAGCTGGATCGACATTTGTGTACACTGTATTCATGTATTGTAAAACTGTGGAGACAATGTGCAATAAAACGATGAAAAATGTGAAGAAATTGTGTAGAGAAAGAAAGGGAAGGATTCAACTTGTTTGAATCCCTTTCTTTCTCTACACAATTTCTTCACATTTTTCATCGTTTTATTGCACATTGTCTCCACAGTTTTACAATACATGAATACAGTGTACACAAATGTCGATCCAGCTTGTATTACTGATTGCGGTTATCAAATTATTATTATTATTATTCTTTATTTCCACGATGGCCCATGGCCAATAAGGAAGATAATATGATTCAAATCAGTCCAGAATCATATAAAATCAGTCTAGCAAGTAAGGAAACCAACACATTGCAGGGGGATGGGGTTACGATGGGGTGCAGTTTGAGCTACTACAGGAGCATATGGATGATAGAATGAGGCTAGACGCCATTGATTTAAACGCATGCTTGCTATTTGTTTCACGCCGGTCGGGGGGTAGTTGGTTGAAATTGTGAAGGGACAGGTTGAAGCTTCACGGCAGAAACCAATGGTCGGCTGTCGCCAGATATTTATTCTCATTTTAACTGTAAGCACCCCCTACCGAGATACATGTAGGACTCAGTGACCAGTCAAGGCCCCGTGACCAATCACGGTCCCCGTGACCAGTCAAACAGTCACAAACCCCCCATGACCAGTCACAAATTAGTTTACCAGTCACAATGCCCCATGACCAGTCACAAATCACCATACATGTACATGTGTAAAGTACACAGTTCGTGACTGCTCGCAGGGTGCTTCGTACTGCAGGGTTTGTTGTGGAAACTATAATTCCCTATGAGCGGTCACAGAATACAGTTGTGACCACTATAATTCCATGCGAACAGTTACATGCGGAATGTACAGTTGTGACCACTCTTTCTCTGTGAGTAGTCACAGGCAGAATATAGGTATTTCTGTATTACAACAGAGATTGGAGGCTTTGTCACAACTCTGAGTTTCACGTATTACTACGATCGTCAGGCCACTGATGGCTCCTAAACGGGCAGCCTGAACATAAGGGGGAGCAAGGTGGGAAATTCTGAGGGGTATCATAGGCGACGGGTATTATAGTGCAAGAGTCAGGTACAGGCATGAAGTTGCCAAGTCTTCAGACTTGGGGCTATGCAGCAGCAGTTCCAGCGTGAATGACATAGAATAAGGCTGGGGACCACACATGCCCACACCATTACACACACATACACCCACACTCTCTCCCTTTTCTCACATACACTCACACGCGCGCGCACACACACACACACACGCACATATGTCATTCATTCTCTACATCACACACACACACACCTGGCCTGGTGTACAGCTGCCAAATGCTTAGCCGCGCCGCCCCCGAGACAGGGGGAGAGTAGAAGAGAGAGTTTGAGACACACACACATCCACACACACACACACACACACACACACACACACACACACACCTTTGACCTTTGACGCCCATCGCCGGAGGCGATGATAGCAATGCTACGGCAGAAGCCATAGCAACTTGTGCTGGGATTACACCATTCAACAGCTTGCAAGGCTGAAGAATTGACCGTCACTATTCAGCCTGGTCTACACCATACAGCTATTTGGAGTGACATTTTCTGGCCAGTGAATCCCTATTTTTGGTCTTTTTTCATTTTTTCCCCGCACACACATCACACCACATACTCCGGCATGCACTGGCTGTTGGTAACCACCCAGGAGAATGAAAGAAAAGTCAGGAAGAGTCTGAGAAAGAGAAGAAAGACGTGTGTGACCATAATCGTCGGGAATCGAACCCGCAATCTATCGATTGGAAATCGCTGCACATACCACTGCACACATACACACACACATACACACATACACACACACACATACACACATACACACACACACACCTGGCCTGGTGTACAGCTGCCAACTGCTTGGCCACGCCGCCCCCGAGACAGGGGGAGAGTAGAAGAGAGAGTTTGAGACACACACACACATCCACACACACACACACACACACACACACACACACACACACACACACACACACACACACACATCCACACACACACACACACATCCACGCACGCACACACAAACACACACACATTCTCTAAATCTCACACACACACACACACATTCTCTCTCTCTCACACACACACTCTCTTTCTCACGCATGCACACACACACACACTCACACATGCGCGCGCACACTTACTCACACACACACACACACACACACACACACACACACACACACACACACACACACACACACACAAATAGGCAGCGGGACTACCAGCTAGATTTACGTGACCTTGCGGACAAAGTTACGGAGGTAGAACCTGTTTTCATGACGATACTTGGACACAAGTACTTCTGTATTATTATTTTATCTCTTTTCAACCAATCCACAAGCCAAGAAGAGATGCGTAGACGGAAGAACCGTACTCTTCGTGATACTGATCGCAAACATGATTAATTCCTCCAGGCCATTGAGCACCCAATTCTAAACGTTATCTAAGCAAAGCAGCATGCCAGTTCAAGAACATCTCGTCAGACATACATATCGATACATGTCTGGTGCACTCTCACTAACAAGCAGGCATCGCAGGCTACATTCGCACCAGCAATCAAAAGAAGTTGAAGTGAGTGAATATTTCTATAAAATTAATAATTGGAAGACAAATGAAGGTGTGGAGGATCGCCCAAAAACACTGACAAGGAGACAGTAAACGGTACACAGTACTCGTATGCATGTACTTTTAATACACGTAATAGCAGCACAACGAGAGAGACCATGATGCATAATGTTGCATCAATAAATTTTACAGAGTTATTTTGGGAGTAGGAATGAAGATGTGTTCGAAGCAGTAAACTGCGTAAGCACTACGTTGAGCCAGAATATTGAAATACAGTTTCCTGCAGTCAAAACAAGACACTCACACTTCTCTGGTCTAGTTCGCCATTCTTATCGATAAACATGACTTGATTTAATTTCTTACGATGGTTCTTGAGAATGGATCAATGATGTCTTGAATAGATGTCTTCCTGAACGACTTCAACTGAGACGCAGTTTCAGTTTCAACAAGCTGGACATTGTTTTTCTGTGGAGTCTTCCACAAGAAAGACAGAGCTACACACACGAAGGTGCTTGATGTACTCAGTACCTTCCTGGAAATGAACATATTTTCATGTCCATCTTCATTATATTTTCGTCTCTGCATCGTCGACGATGTCCACTTCTGACTCCGTAATCTTGTCACCCATCCTCTCCAAAAACACAAATCGAGTGCTGCTTGCATGCTGGATCAGTTGAAGTCAGTCTCTGCTCTAGCAAGATCGGCATGCAAAAATTACATGACTGAAAATATTCCGAAATAGCTTTCCTGAACGACGAAGTTTGTTCTTCAAATAATGATGAATAGCACAACCTACTAGCCAGAACGTCCTCTCAAAAGAGATTCTATCTGAAGCCTGCAAGATTTTCGACCACCCTTCGTTTTGGAGAGGAGCCCACACACACCAGCTACAAGTAAACTACGCGGAGATCGAGAGTTGATCGAAATCTTTCTTGCTCACTTCTGAAACCAGAAACCTGTGAAGGAAAAAAGTATGCTGAACGCGTGAATGCCTACAGTTGAGTCGTAATATTTTGACGTGGATCCTGTGACCGTTCACAGAGAAAGTCGCGGCTGTTTCTGACTGGTCATCGGGATTCAAACTGGTGTGTGACTTTATGACTGTTCTTCGGGGATTTGTGACTGTTTGATTGGTCACGGGGATCGTGATCGGTCATCGAGACGTGACTGCTCACTGAGTCCTACATACATGCATTATGCTGAGCTCACTGACTTGTCCGTTTGAGCACTCCTGGAAAACTGATTTTTCATTGCTAGCAGGTTCGGTGTCATTTCCTCTGTGCTGCACTGATGAGCCCACAAAGGAGGAAGTAGTTATATGTCAGCAGATTGAGATACATGTACACGTGGAGAACTAGATTCTAACACGTGTAGGCCTTGACAGATTATGTTAATATTTTCGGACTAGGTCCGAGGGGGATGTGAGATCCCCTCTAACTAGGGGAAATATCCGTACATTACCTGAAAAGGGTGGTCTATAACTATGTTGAATAGTCTTGCTACAATAGATAACCATGACGAGCACGCCACAAAACAGAAAAACAGGAATCAAATCAAGAACTGCAGCAATCAGGACTAGAGACCTAATTATTGTACACTAACGATTTGTTAATACAAAACGACCAGACGCATCACCGACTCTCTCTCTCTCACACACACACACACACGCACACAAACACACGCACACACACACGCGCGCGCACACACACCCTCAGGCTTGATCACCCAAATCCATACCACTCAGCTTACCTTCTCCGTCCCTGCGCGTATCAATACCGTCAGCACCGGGTGGACGCTTCTCCCAGTCCACTTCGTCCAGCGTCCCGACAAGATCATCTCCAACATTGGAGCTACCTGGAAAATAAACAGAGGCAACAGGTAACACGGCAACAACAAAAACTTCAATGAATGCACAATACAATACAGCTTATACCAGAATATGCACGTAGATCAAGAGCAGATTACAACAGTACCTATGCATTCACTGTAAACATGCAATCCCAACAACCTGAGAGAGCGACAACTGGAGCGACGGCAGCGGCAACTGCAACTTGTGTTGATGGTAATCAGGCCGACGGAGTAGTATAATATTACAATATTGGTCTGGAATTTTTAGCAGGCTTTCCAAGTTGCGCTATTGCAAATAACAAGAGTGCATAAACATTATGTTTATGCACTCTTGTAAATAATGATCTGCTTTGATGGTAGTGACTGTTAATATTTGCCTGAGTTTAACTCTGGATTTGTCTTCCATCATCTTTCCGATCACATTATCATGGAATTTCAATAAATTTCTTTGACACGACAGTATCACTGTACTACTTCCTGATGGTGATGGCAGGACGAAGTGGACAGGCAGGAGAGTCAAATCGGTCCCCCCCCCCCCCCGTCACACACCCTTCGCTATTACATGTACATGTAGGTATATCCTTGGGCTATGATCCCGTTTGAATTTTGCGAAGTAAAATAAAGAGTGGAAGACTGTACTATATGATGCGCTCTCATCCTATAATATTCATGCCTCTACACCCAACACAAAGGAACAGTGTTTTTAGGACTGTTTTCTTCAACAGTTTTCCTACTCTGTACATTCGCTTGACACATCTACTTGTCTATTACTCTGATGTTGTTTGTTCACCATTCAGTGACGTATTCTAACTGATGATTGTCACGATCCAAAATACTGTCACTTGATGTTGTGTGCAGATGCGCGAACGTATTATGTATACGATGTCAGCGCTTACTGTTTGCGAATTTACAACTTTTGTATTCTCATCGACCCCACAATACTGTACAGTATTATCACCTCAGACCAAAATCGATCATCTGTATGTACATGTATATAGCAATGAGTTATGAAAGTAGGGAGCAGAGACAACTATAATGGTACTTGACAGGGGGCACGCGTGTTTGCAACGTGATACAGTGGAACGAGCTGCTTTCCCCAGTGCCGAAAGGCGGGCTCACCACCCCATGCAGTATGGCAACTTCCCCATGTCGTCTAACCCTAAGACGAAGTGAATACTGTCGTAGTCACACTGGGTGAAGTTAAAAAATAAAAAAGTGATACAGTAGCAGTAGACCGTAGCCGACACATTGTTTTTTGTTTGAAGTTTTATTGTACTTGAAGTACATCGCAAACCAAACGGGCATTGATGCCCAATATTATGATGGCGATAGAATAAAAAGTGTGGCTCGATAGTCGATAATACTGCACTTGAGAAAATGAGAAAACAGTCAATAGGAAGTATATGTACCGGTAACTACAAGTCCAGTTTGAACGAATTAACAATCAGAGAAATAGGAAGATGAGGACCTATGGCAGAGGGAGGTACTATTCGGACTATTCGGCCTTATTAACCGTAGAAAAAAAACTTTCAGCAATCTTATTTTAAACGGGGTTGGAGGACGAGTGGACGCGAGTTCCTGTGGCAGGGTGTTCCAAAGCTTCACGGCAGAAACCAATGGTCGGCTGTCGCCAGATGTTTATTCTCATTTTTAACTTTAAGCACCCCCTACCGAGATACATGCATTATGCAGAGCTCACTGACTTGTCCGTTTGAGCACTCTTGGAAAATTGATTTTTCATTGCTAGCAGGTTCAGTCTCATTTCCTCTGTGCCGCACTGATGAGTCCACAAAGGAGGAAGTAGTTATATGTCCGCAGATTTAGATACATGTCCATGTACATGTGGAGAACTAGATTCTAACACGTGTACAGCGGTAATAGGATTTCTGTTACGTACCGTTAACCATGTGACCAGACGCCAGTAGAAGCACAGCGAACGCCAGGAAGGCAAGGGACAGAGGATCCAGTTGATGCGCCATGCTTGAACTCGCTGCAAGATGATGCAATGCACGAAGAGGGCGTCCTGGTGAAACGGGCAGTGAAAATCCAGCTACCTTTAAAACTGTAGCCAACAGAATTTCAATATCCTTCCTTCGCCTTCCCTGTCTTCTTATAGCTATGGTACTCAGTGCTCTCCTTTATAGCAGCCCACAGATGTGACTCCTTCCCTTTTGGAACCTTGCAGAGAATAGGTGAACCGGATATAAGCGGGCAGCGGTGTGAATGGAAGACTGCGCCTGTGAGGACGTAGGTCGCTTAAAACGAAAAGACGGAACATGTGCTGCAAGGATATCAAAAGCGCTCCGCGTGCCGCCGGGATCTGCATTCCACTGGCCTGCAGAGTAGTGGGAAACCTTTTCCGTGTTTACGCTGGCGGGAACGTCACGTGAACGATTCACCTTGACAACTTTCACATTCCGCTTGCTTTTCACGCCAGTCTGAACGCGCCCAGCAACAAGACACGATGAACCCCATGCACATGGATGTGGTAATGAGCAGGTAAACTGGAGGCTCTCTGTCACCAGGGTAGACCCAGTACTAAGCAAAGGTACTTCAAAAGTAAGTACTAGAAAGTGACTCAACACGACTGACTGATCATACAGTGCATGGGGCTGTGTTCCTAAAAAGAAGTTCAAAAAAATAGACCAAACACTAGTAGTAGTAAGTAATAGTTGCACGCAGCTTTCGTAAGAATGCGAACTGGACACTGGGCGCAGCAAGAACACTTTGCCTCAATCAAGAACATGACGTATTGTCTCTTCTCTCTGCGCTGCACAGGCCCGCGTGACCAACTAGATTAAAACTCGATGAACATGAACTCGATGCGTCCAGACTGAATTGAATTCCTCACATGCAATCCATGTACATGTACATGTAGATCTACCCCGTGACGTCATGAGACCCATACAAGTCATGCAGATGTTCTGTTGTTGGTGTATGGGCACACCACTCAACAGTGCAGATGTTCTGTTGTTCACAACACTCAACAGTGTAGATGTTCTATGACTAGTATGGCTTGAAAGTGCTACGTCACAGCATAGCAACAATTTCAAAAATTCAAAAACTGGATCCACTTGGATTCAGTTTTTTGTATGGATCCAAGCACATTTCAAGCGGTCTTACCCACAGCATGGTGATGTAGCCAGTGAAACTGACTGATTTGGCTGCTGGGGGCGGGGTTACAACTGGTGGCGAAATAAAAGTCACACCTGCATGCGACATGAGTGGGTTGCTATGCACCCACATACTTAGGCAATAGCAAACTCACACCTTAGTGGATCCAAAAATAGAAATCTGATGTCAACTTACTACTCCCTGGCCATTTTGACGTCATCACTTTCAAGCCCTATAGGGCTATAGGGCTTGAAAGTGCTACGTCACTCCATAGCAATGGCATAGCAACAATTAGAAAAATTCGAAAACTGGATCCACCTGGATCCAGTTTTTGTATCGATCCAAGCACATTTCAAGCGGTCTCACTCACAGCAAGGTGATGTTGCCAGTGAAACTGACTGATTTGGCTAGTGGGGGCGGGGTGACAACTGGTGGCGAAGTAAAAGTTGCACCTGCATACGACATGAGTGGGTTGCTATGCACCCACATACTGAGGCAATAGCAAAGTCACACCTTAGTGGATCCAAAATAGAAATCTGATGTCAATTTACTACTCCCAGGCCGTTTTTGACGTCATCACTTTCAAGCCCTATTGCATGGAAACACTCAACAGTGCAGATGTTCTGTTACTAATACTAGTATTGCATGGGCACAACACTCAACAGTGCAGATGTTCTGTGATTTCCACAAGACACTGTCTGTACACTGATACTTGTACAGACATGTTGTTGGTCTACTATTGAATAGTACCATGTACAGCCATGCTGTTGGTCTAGTACTAGTGCTAGTACCATGTACAGACAATCAGACATCCTATACAGGCTAGACTAGAGTGATAGTGCAAATGCACCCACCTGTCAACCAATACTTTGCAAACAAAGAACCTGTGTCGGGCCATTGAGAAGTGGTGAGCGCTCATGATCTTTCCCTGGGCACTGCAAATGCACAACTAACGAATTAGCTGACTGTATCATTTTCGACTTTTCCGCTAATTTTCATCATCAGGATACAATATGAAAATTTAAGTCTGCCAAGAGTAGTATTTTATGGAGTCAATTTGATACCGGCTGATCCCTCCGCACTCTACGAGGCCTCTAGGTCCATCCAGTATCAAAGGGATTGACTGCCAAGAAAAAAACACGTTTCTTCCAGTGATTTTTTCAAATCGCCTCGTAGAGGCCTATACAGAGAAATCACTTTTTGGATCACCTTTTGCCGCCCCGAAGTATCAAAATCTTCGGGGCTGACAAATGCTACAAATGACATGCGTATAACCACTTATATCCACAAGTTGACCAAATACCTTTGTGCTCCAAATGTCACCCCGCATCGTAAAAAAAACCTAGGCAAAATGTAGCTCTGTAATCGAAACTCTGTATCTGAAATGGCCAAGCGGGACAGGTGGAAGCTATTAGGACATATATTACGCCAGCCAAGTGACATCCCTGCAAATGTTGCTCTCACTGCTTTCTGTACATATGCTACCAGTCAGCCCTTTCGAATGGGTGCACCCCGCTCTTGCCTCACCACAAGTCTCCAGCGAGACGTCCGCCTCACACCTATCTGCATTTTTAAGCCCAGCTGCCTTCGTGATCTCGGCACCTATGCCCGCGACAGAAAACAATGGAGTAACATCTGCTCAGCCATTTAGTCTAGTACTGCTCTTCTTAAATTTGACCTTTATTACAAGACTCTTCTTTTCTTTTTCATTTCGTTCTCCCACTCTCACACACACATGCTCACAGTTAATTCTGCCGTCGTGAGTCCCATTCGGGACGGATACGAGAATAATAATAATAATAATAATAATAATATTACTAATCGAAACAAACAAGTGAACTTTAGTAAATTTAACTCGGATACTGAGCCAGTAAGAAAGGACATGGAAACGAGTTATGGACTCGGATGGAGACTCAGAGCCAATGATTAATTTACACAAAAGAAAAATGGACCCAGGAACTACAAGTTACGCTATAATGTCCACTAACACCACTAGTTACTAAACAATCAGCTCATGCGATAACATTGCACGACACTGACCGACGGTACAGACATTCTAGAACTAACTGGCTACCCTTGGAAGGTTCTAAGTTATAGAAATGACAAAAAAAGAGGGGCAGGTGAGCGCAACCAAGATAACACGAGCTGAAAGTCTCAGCTGTGAAGGACGTCGGCGGATGTTCATGCATGTCGATGACGACCCTGCCAACGCCATTGGACAATACGGTCAAACTACGATTCAAGGACGCACCGCAACATTCCACACAACGTGTGCGGCTCAAAAGATGCGGAGATCAATAAAAGGGGAAGCTGTGCGAACAGGAATCATGCAAAACCGACCGCCTCAGTAAAACAGCACTGCACTTCGACTACGACAATTAAAAAATATTTAGATGGACAATAAGCAGCGGTAAAAAGCAGCAGTTTCACACGACGATCGTTTCGCCGTACAGATAAGGGCGGCTCATCAGGTGTGCAGGAATGGACTACTAGTAGAATTTATTATTTTACAAGGGAACTCCCAACAGGCGTTGCCTTTTTACTGGGAATCCTAGGAATGACTTGGTGCTTGTGACAAATGCAGAAAGGGGCTTACCTTGACGACATCCAGGTGGAAGCATGCTCCATCTGTCTGCTGCCAAAAATGAAATAGCATTCAGGCCGTAGCGAGACGTAGCTCCGGGTAAGTTCGGAGCGGCTGAAGCTTGACCGCGGTGTAGCAGCAGACTCGGATGGAGAGCCAAGGATTAATTTATACAAAAGTCCCTGGTTCGAGTCCCGGTGGTGTGACTGATGATTATTTTTTTATTTTTTTCATATCTGGCTTGCAAGTGTTGAGTTTTGGAGAGAAAAGAGCAGTACGTGGCATGTGGCCTCTGATTTCCTAATACCTTTGGAATTACAATTGTTATTATTGACATTAGACTGTTTTTACAGCCATTAAAAAAATTCCTAATACTTTGAAATTCGCCCTGAAGTCCAAATTTGAAATTTCAGTTATTTGTATTTGCTAGCAATGGACATAGTTTGATGCGCTCCCCATGATATCAAGCGAATCGCCGAGGGCCCTCTTGATTGGTGTGAGTTGCCAGTATGATGCAAGCCAGATATCATGGATATGAATAGACCAATCCCGAAAAGATTGTCTGGGTTCGTGAAAGGGGGCACGCGTGCAAGCCGCCACGTGTGAAGTGCATCGTTTTGTATTCAGTTTGTGTGTGTCAGCTCATGGCGGAGGAGAGAGAGACTTTTGCTCGCCGAGCTGAAGCTAAAGGATTTGATGGAGCTCTGCCAGCAGCTAGTCAAAGGACCTTCGGTACCTTAGGCAGACCCTGACGGAGTTTGGAGGCCAGCTAGCTCTCGGTGAGGAGAGAAACATTCACGTGGCGATCGACTCTCCGTAAAAAATGCAACCTACATAGCGCCGACATACTGCAACAGCTACGATTCCAGCTAACTAACGTTACTTCTCGATCTGCTGCTTCACAAAGTTCAACTATTTACAAGTCCTGACTGTTGTAGTCTGAAGCTGGAGTCTCATCGCCCACCTACAGGTAGCTTTTTGGAGCTGATGGATTTCCCGACTTGGACTCCTTCCGCAAACTCTCGCAACATTACTACAGTGTATGCTGTGTTTCCGCACGCTCGTGTCGACATGTCACCTGGTCACCTATACTGTACCGTCCCCGGGGAAAATTGCGGAAAAAATCGCAAAAAAAGAGGGGAAAAACGCGGCATAATATGGCATAATTTGCGGTGAATTTGCGGTAAATATGCGGTAAATATGCGGTGAATACTATTGATGTGCGGCAATTTTCAGTGAGTATGTAGTGAAATCAATCAGTTACAAGTCTCTGGTGTAAGCACTCGTCATATTTGAGTAAAAAACCGCCACGATGAGACGTTGCTGACCGGACAGTGCACTGTGTGTACGTGTAGTGCAACAAAAAAGTTCAAAAAACGCGGGAATATCGCGGAAAACGCGGTCTTTTAAACAATCGCAAAAAAACGCGGGAAAAAACGCGGCCGCGGAATTGCAATTTTCCCCGGGGACAGACTGTACATGTACCGGGTCGCGGAGGAGCTTAACGACCTCCGCTGACTCCAGGTTTCCGAAATACTGCCGTCG